CTTCATATTCTTAGCCAAACATGAGTTAAAAATCTAATGTGAGTTAAAAATAAAAAACGTGAGTTAAAAATAAAAAATCGAGAAACAAGATTTTTTTTTTTTTTTAACAAAAAAACAAATCTTCGCCCGAACACGTTCACGAGCTGTTCGCCCGAACACGTTCGCCTTGCTACACATGTTAAAATGTTCTTTAATAACCACATCAGCAAAAACAGGGTCGGCTTCGTATTTAGCTAAGCCACTACTCAATTTGTGAGTTTTGAATTGTTTTCGGAATTTGGTAATTCAACTTATTTTCGGTAATCCATCATTACATAGTAACACATTTATATTCAACATATATTCCCCTCTTAGACAGATGGTGGGGAAGGCATGGCCCAGTTAGCCAGCCAATACCAAACGGAATGGGCCAGCTGGCGCACCCTGCAAGAAAGCCCAATAGGCCTAAAAGAGAAAAAAAGGAAAAGTCACTCATGGCTATGGAAACTAAGAAGAAACAATCAAACGTAAATAATGCTATTATCCCCTATATATATACATACTATTAAAGCAAATAGCAGGTCTTGCGTAACGTTTCCCACGGGAGACCCACCCAGCTGGGCCCACAGCTTTTTGTTTTCCGGCACGATTCGTTTTTTTCCCCTTTTTCTCGGATGGGTGTGAACTCGATTTCGCTCGGGGCAAGTCCGGGCCTGGAATGTTCGCCCCAGGGCCTCCCTTTGCGAATGTTCGGACGTCCGAACACACAGAACCCCGACCACCGGTTCGAAGACCCTCGCGGGAGTAGTTCCGCCAAGTGTGTTGTTTCGTTCCTGTTGGGGAGCCAAGCTCGGCAGGCATGGTGAGAGGGGGCAACGTCGACGAAAGAGGGCAGAGGTTCAGTGCTGTGGGCGAAGACCCCGAGAGTTCCGTTCACACTCGGAGGGATGGGGAGGACTGGTGTCAGTGCTCACGGCATCGCAAAGACCCCGAGAGTTCCGTTCACACTCGGAGGGATGGGGAGGAGCGGTGCCAGTGCTCACGACATCGAAAGACAAACAAATATGGTGGTGTATCTGTCCATGTTCTAGCAAAGGATTCATTCTCATTTTGCACATTTCACGAAGAGGCAGAGACTTCTGTTTACACTTGGGCCAAAAAAGAAATCAATAGGTTGAAGAGCAGCGTGAGGGTGATCTCTCTCTCTCTCTCTCTCTCTCTCTCTCTCTCTCTCTCTCTCTCTCTCTCTCTCTCTCTCTCTCTCTCTCTCTCTCT